AAAGAGGAGCATACGTAGACAAACAATCAAATAGAGATCATTGTAAATCAGGTTAGAACTGCTGCCTCCAGGTAAAACTACTGACTGTAGGTATTTCGTACCAGCAACAGTAACAACAGTAGTACATTGTACTTGGTAGCAGTTACCTAATAATAAAATACCAGTAAATGTACAAGTACAAAGTTGCAATTGTTGTTTACCTGTTGGAGGAATCATAAATATGTGTCTTGCTAAAGAGTGAGGGAGAATGAAGAGGAGGAGGAAGAAAGCAATAAGAAGGAGAGTTGCTGGCAGTTTAGATGTCTTCTCTCCTGGTGTAGTACTGCCTGACTTGCTGTCTACTGCAGCTTTGAATGAGTGAGAGTGGTGGCCATTAGCTGGTCTACTGGAGGCAGCTTGACAGTAGTTCCACAGTCCAATACTTGCTCTCCATTGAGATACATCAATCATCTTGTATGCTAATTACTAAACTAAGTACTTACATGTATGTCCTTACCGATAGATTTTTGCTTTAAGAATGTCCCACTTGTTGAGCTACCAATAGACATATGTGTTTGTACCTGTGTGGTCTGTTTTATAAAATAACACTATTAATTAGTAATGCCTTTTAAGGCCTACATGTAATCGTAATTACTCTACTGTTTTTACAAGTGAACTATGCCTGAATGCACAAATCTAAAAATAGAATAAATGCACAGTTTAATAGTCTACTTTTGTAATCATAATGTGTGTGCTTCTTGTTATTGACAATAATAATGCATGTACTGTCATTTATACATGTACATGTACAAGTAACTTTTTTACTCTTCTTCTCTCTCCATTCATTCTTAGTATGAATGTGCAATTGTGGATGATTATGTGTATACACGTACATGTGTGTATAACAATTACCGTCTATCTGAAATTTTTTAATTTTACTGGATTAGAATTTTGCAAAAAAAAATAGATCACCCATATAATTACATGCCACATTCAATAATACATAGCACAGTCTTATTTAGTGAAAATTAAATCACAGCACAATTTAAAAACACAAAAAATTTTTACCTCACATATTTCCTGATTTACGGTAGTATTGTATTATTTACTTATATGCCAAATAATTATTGTATACTGCATCATATATTTTGTGTAGCAAAATTTCACTTTCAAAAGAAAAAGATACTCTTTTAATTGTTATTCAATGCAAATTTGTGCCATGCTTGTTGCATTACCTTTCAAAGAATGCACTTTTTTCTTTACTCTTATGCAATAGAAAGTGTACATGTATACTGTAGGACCACTTCAATCTCACTTTCTTAAGACCACTTTTAAATAGCAGGTCAGCCTTCATTTTATTTTCCCATACATGTCGTTATTTTATTATTTATATAACCAAATATTATCTACTCTTGATATAGCCAAATGGCTTATCTATCAAATCAACATCAATTGTAAGCTAAAAAAGCACATATAATTAAGAAAGGAAAGAAGAAGGAGAGAGATACATGTATCACCAATTGACAAATGACCACATGATCTGAAAACATTACTAAACTACTGTTTAACGTATCTTGCATAGGGGTAGGAACAGGGGGGCCAGGAGGGGCTTAAGCCCCCCCTACTTTCATTGAAGGGGGGCTTAGCCCCTCCAACTTTAAGTGATGTACATGCATTACTATTATCAACACTATAGACTTTAGTTTAGGTAATCCTTATATGTGTGCATATTGTGTGATGATTCGTTTCATAAAACTATTAATACACTAGCTTAACTTCTAAGAACACACTTTTATTAGTTTTTTCAGAAATACACAAGCTTCTACTTCTTTATTTAACAACACTGTTAACATCAGCTTCAGCTGAGCATAGACTTTCAACGTTAAGGAGATTAAAAACTACTTACGCTCCACAATGCCACAAGAGCATCTTAATTATGTAGTTATTTTGCATACACACAAAGAATTTACAGATAATTTACACATCAAGGACATTGCAAAGGAATTTGTTACATTTAATGAGCATAGACGCCAATATTTTGGACAGTATTAATTTCAGTACATGCTATGTATTAATGATCAATTGTCAAAATAATACCTTAGCCCCCCCCAACTTTTAGTTTGTTCCTACCCCTATGGTATCTTGCCAATAGAAAGCATGTACATGTACATGTTAAGCTTCAATCTCACCTCCTTAAGATTCATTTGACCACACCATGTGTTATCTAATACCACACATACTTCATGACTGCCTAAATATTTTTTTGTTTTTATTGTTTCTAACTACATATGACTTAGCCATCAACTCAACACTACTTTATAAGTTAAATAATTACATTGTAGAAAAGAAAAGTATAGTATAGGGAGGGAGGAAGTAACTATTTCTACATCTAATACTATTATCTCAGTGTGGACAGTTTATTTCAGCGACTGAATGATGAATGACCATCTGAGGATCTTGCTGAACTACCATTGAGTGATTTTTTACTTGAATACTTGTCTAAAGAATGAAGTATATCAGCTATGTCTTCAGTTTTAGCTAATGTTAGGGCAGTACTACCATCTCTTGCTTTAACTTCTGGATCAGCTAACCAGTCTAATAATAATTCAACTATATCCTTATGACCATTAACACTAGCGATCATCAGAGGTGTATATCCTTTCTTGTCTTGAATATTATGATTGAGATTTACTTGTTCCTGTAGCAACAGCTCAACTATTTGAGCATGACCATTTTGACAAGCCAGCATAAAACCATTCAATCCATCGCTCCTTTGAACATTAGGATCAATTTGTTTAAGCAACAGTTCCACTATTTGTATATGACCATTTTCACATCCCAGCATAAAAGCATTCAAACTATCTTTGTCTTTAACATTAGGATCTACCTTTTTATTAAGCAATAGTTCGACTATTTGAGCATGACCATTTTGACAAGCCAGCATAAAACCATTGAATCCGTCACTTTTTTGAACATTAGGATCAATTTGTTCATTAAGCAAGAGTTCCACTATTTGAATATGACCATTTTTACATGCCAGCATAAAAGCATTCGAACCATCTTTGTCTTGAACATTAGGATCTACTTTTTCTTTTAGCAACAGTTCAACTATTTGAGTGTGACCGTTTCCACATGCCAGCATAAAAGCATTCCAACCATCTTTGTCTTGAACATTAGGATCTACTTTTTCTTTTAGCAACAGTTCAACTATTTGAGTGTGACCTACTCCACATGCCATCATAAAAGCATTCCAACCATCTTTCTCTTTAACGTTAGGATCAAGATTTTCCTTCAGCAACAGTTTAATTATTTGAGTGTGACCTTCTCCACATGCCAGCATGAAAGCATTTTGACCATTTTTCTCTTTAGCATTACGATTAATGTCTTCCTTTAGCAACAGTTCAACTATTTCAATGTGACCATTTCCACATGCCAGCATAAAAGCATTCCAACCATTTTTCTCTTGAACATCGGAATAAAATTTTTTTTGAGCAACAGTTCAACTATTTGAGTGTGACCTTTTCCACATGCCAACATAAAAGCATTCCAACCATCTTTGTCTTTAACATTAGGATCTACTTTTCCCTTCAGCAATAGTTCAACTATTTGAATTTGGCCATCTTTACATGCCAACATAAAAGCAGTATGACCTTGTTCGTTTTGAACATTAGGATCAACTTTTTCCTTCAGCAACAGTTCAACTATTTGAGTGTGGCCATTTTGACAAGCCACCATTAAAGCATTTGCTCCATCTTTTGCTTGACAATTATAATCAACTCCTTGACTAATCAATAGTCGAACAACTTCATAGTTCCCATGGTAACTGGCAATCATTAAAGCATTTAATCCATCTGATGTCTTCAAATGAGGATTAGCATTAGCTTGCATTAATTTTTCAATGATTGAAATATGATTATGTTCACTTGTTATCATTAGTGCAGTCCATCCTTTATTGTCCTGAATGTCAACATTAGTTCCAGCAGACAATAAACTGTGTACAATGTCCTCATGCCCTCCTTTACTAGCTAACATTAGTGCTGTCTCACCTTTGTCATTATGATTGATATTAACAGTTTCTAGTTTAAGAAGAAATTCTACTGCTTCATTATTACCAACTATGGCTGCCTGAAGGAGAGCTAGCTCAAAGGTGAAATTTATATTCTCATCTTCTTCAAGGACAGGGTGATTGCTGATATGTAAACTATATATACCAATGAGACATATAAACTCTAAATTTCTTCTGTTATATTGTATTAAACTATCAGCTGTAGAGTTAAGAATATGTAACTTGATGATGACACATCCTTTCTCAATAGTGATGCACTTCATTACTGATTGTCTAAGTTCTTCTGGAAGTAAACTTTCAATTAGAATTCTTAATCCTCTAATTTTAACTTTGTTCCAATGATTTTGAAGTTTAATGCAGATCAATGGCATATTCTCCAACTGTTTTCTATAAGGTCCATACACATTGCATATCTCTCTTTCAAGTTCAGTAATTGGCTCTGATGAACGAAATTCATCAGCTTTTACTGAATAAGCCTTCAGTTCATCGAGTAGGTCTTTTTCATCACTTATGAACTCATTACACATATTGACTATCAAATTACAGTCACTAAAATCATAATAATGATAGATCTTCTTGAAAACATCACGTAAATCATTATCTATTGTATCCGGCTTCCAGTGGAGCTGATCTTCAACCCATTCAGATATCTCAACAAATAGTTGTGAATTTTCAATTATTCTTTTTCGAAAAATTGATTTTACTTTTCTCATGATGTGGGAGAATTTGGTTTGTAATTCATTTAAAGAATCTTGAACTTTTTTATCTTCTTTTGGAAAGAGTATAATTTCAATACCTCCTAAAACACAAACATAATAATTATACATGTATATACCTATTTGATACCAATTTTAAAGGAGAAATTGGGTAAAAAACTTGATAAATTTTTAGTGATTGGTGAGTTTTATTTTGAATGGACCAAATTTACCAGGATTATACAGTAATGTAACTTACCATCTGAATCTGATGTCTCTATATGTTTTTCAATATCTTGAGCTAATGCATTCTCTTTTATACTAGTCAGTGCATCAATGACATCTCTCCATGTTGCATTAGGATTGAATGACAACCATTTTGAATATAATGCCAATTTTCTTTCTTCAGTTAGTGAATTTTCATGTTCAATTTTTGAGATCTCATGCTCTTTCATTCCAACTAAACATAAACCGAACCGTTTCCATGGGATAAGTGGTTCAAGCCATTCAATTAATAGTGATATATCAGGTCGATCATCAATCATAGGACCAGGATTGAGTTCAACATCTCCTGATAAGAGGAGGAGCAAACATAGACAAACAATCAAATAGAGATCATTGTGAATCAGGTTAGAACTGCTGCCTAGCCTGCCTCCAGGTAAGACTACTGACTGGAGGTAATTTGTATCAGTAACAGTAACACCAGTAGTACAGCATACTTGGTAGCAGTTACCTAATAATAAGATACCAGTAAATATACATGTACAAAAATTGCAATTGTTGTTTACCTGTTGGAGGAATCATCAAGATGTGTCTTGATAAAGAGAGAGAGTGAAAGAGGAGGAGTGGAAGGAAAGCAATAAGAGACAGAGCTGCTGGCAGTTTAGATGTCTTCTCTCCTGATGTAGTACTGCCTGACCTGCTGTCTACTGTAGCTTTGAATGAGTGAGAGTGGCAGCCATTAGCTGGTCTACTGGAGGCAGTTTGACAGTAGTTCCACAGTCCAATACTTGCTCTCCATTGAGATACATCAATCATACCTGTCTGTATATGTTAGACAGTTGATAATATTTATGACCCTGTCAAGAATTTTGTCGTAAATCTTCCACTTAATGAGCTATTAGTATGGACACACGGGTTTGTCCTGACTAGGTTTGTCCCTGTGTGGTCTGATTTATGAGCTATGAATATTCATAGATGATATCATTACTCTACTATTTTTACAGGTGCACTAGAGCTTTTACATCATGCACCACACCTGATTGTACTAAACTAAAAACTTTTTAAATGCATAAATAGAACAGTGCATGGTTTAGGACAAGCGAAACTAATTCTTGTTATTTTGTAATTTACAATGTGTGTCCATCTTGTATGGATAAAAATATTGTATGTACTGTATGTAACTTTACTCCTCTTTGTCTCTCTTTCTCCCTCTCTTATCTCTCCATTGTTTTTATAGATCAGTAAATGAGTTATCCAGTATGACTGATGCATTAGCTGCTTGTATCTTCTCATCAAAACTACAACGCAATGACAGGTTCTGGGCACTCAAACAATTACTGAAAATATTCACACAAATAACATCAACCAACAGCGGGAGGAAAACAGCAAACAAAGACAGTTAGTAATCAATAATAACAACAACAACAACAACAATAATAATAATAATAATAATAATAATAATAATAATAATAATAATAATAATAATAATAGAATAATATAAATGATATGAGAGAAGTAGGGAGAGGTA